CATGTGTTATTAAGTTAAGGTTCTCTCCTGACGTTTGAATTCCTGAAGTCAGAACACATAACGCTAGAAATTAAATCCAACAAGAGACCCCTCCTCTGCACCCCAGCAGTCCTCAAAGTGCTTGACTGTAAATAGCACCGCAAATATACAGGGGGCCTAGCTATCTTACAGAAGAATGCACCCGACAAATTAGTCTTCTGGAAGACTCGGATTGGTTGGAGCAAGTGTATAAAATGCAGGGAGCCATATAGAGATGCGACCGGCTGGAAAATTTTTTTTACAAAGGACTTACGTTCAGCTTTAGCATCATTTCAATCCCTCGGCGTGTGTCTGCCAGTGAGAGGGAGTGCGATGTGGTCACAATGACTGCTCCCTGAACGGGTATATTTTGACTGATAGACAGTTGCACATCACCGGTTCCAGGTGGAGTGTCCACGAATAGGGTATCAAGAGGCCCCCAAGCCACCTTTAGGGAAGGAAATGGAGAAGGGTAAGCTCGCCAAACAAGAACGATTGTACATAATAAATTCTAACAGCCACAACCAACCCGTGAAATATTGTCCTGTATGGAACTAATACCACCAAACAACCAGCGTGAAGTATTGCGCAACTAGGACTTCAAATACTAGGACAGTCTTTACCGATGGAACTTGTGGGCGTTCCGAGTCCGTAGCGCTTTTATACACCGTTCTAGGATCTAATTCAATGATAAAGACCCGAATCTAAGACTTCATTAAACAGATGACGGTCTTAAAGGCTTTCAAACATATCGTCAAAACTTAATTTACGGTTAAAAGTGCGGCATAATGAGGGAATAAAAGGTCAAGTGGGCCAAATACTATATCGGAATGGAGGTAATAAGGGGTTGGGGTATCTAACAGATGGTTCATAAAACATAGTTCGAGTACACTAAATAGGTTACGTGATTATTTATATTCTAGATGCCAGCTTTCACGAGACAGCAATAAGATGTAGTCATAACAGTAAAGTTAACTAAATATGCCCCATGAGACCAAACGCTGCATTCAGAAACAGTTTAGAGAACAGAAGCTAAGTGTGCTTGCCTGTCTGAGGAGTTGTTGAATTGCGCTCATTACCATCAGTCCGCGCCACACGACAGCAGACTCCTTCTTTATCAACGAGCCCATTGACATTGTTTTGATGCCATAGTTTTGCAAAGGGATAATTAATTTTTTTGCATTGACTTCGGGCTCTATGCCTTCGAGGCCCATCATTTGGGGGATTGAAGGCCCAAAAACATCCGCATCCATCAATCCTATGCGAGATGCCGAATTGAGCATGTTCGACGCAAGTGCCAGGTTGACCGCAACAGTTGACTTTCCTAGAAAGGATAGCTAGCAAGTCGTAAGAATCTTACCTACACCACCCTTCGCTGAAGCGATTAGGACGACATTTTGAACACCCGCTATAGGAAGCTTTTTAGGTAAAGGTCTCGAAGTCCCAACGTTTTTACTTTTCGTTCCTACGCCTAGGAGGCTACTGCGCAGGATCCTTGAGATCCACATGATTAGAAATCAGAAGAATTTCCTAAAAGGTACACGAGCGTAAACAGATGGAAGTGCAAGAATTGTATAGGGATAAATAGTGGAATATGACATACGAGACGAAATGAATTGAAGAAAATAGATTTTAATGCCAATTTGTATTATAATAAAATTAATTCAACATTAAGGCAATGCATCTTCGTCTAACCTAATATATTTTCATCTTGCCAGTATTCCGCCAGGACTAATTTCGTCCGATCTGACTTCGTCTATTGGCTTGGCAAACTGCCATCTAAGGGGATAACTCCGTCCTTTCAGAATGAAGAGTCAGGCTGCTATGATTTCTTCATGTGACCTTTACGACACCCAAACAGATGGGACCCGAGCCGCCCCTTTCCAGGTTTTCTAAGAAAACCTAGGCTAAAAGTGTAAGACACGAAAACGAGTTGTCCAACTTTGCCAACCACCGCGCCCGATCTCGTCCCGGTTTTTTTCACTTTCTCTTGATCCCAGATGAAGGATAAGAGAATACCACAGACGCCGCATAGGTTTAATACCAATACACACGAAAATCACTGTCCCTGCATCCAGCATGCTGTGGAGTACATTATGGGCCTGATCAGTCGCAATGGTCGAATTGACGGTAAGCGCCCTCTGCCCGATGAGAAGCCGAATCCCTCGCAACAGCATCATAAATGCAACAGAAACGACGGCGAAATTTATCTAAGCTTTAATTAGTACTTATATCGGGAGTACAGTGAAGAAGCAGGTAGAGCGAGTTCGTGGACAAAATTGCATTCGTACTGAAGTGCCCGAAACCTCGTTTCTATCAGAGTAATGCGGTTGCTGTTCCTGCTGGTCTTAAATTGTGTTGCCTAACCTTTTGCATTGCAGTATAGCCTGTCCTTCTGTTGCTAACTGGCTTCGACCTTTTGGGGGGACCTCGATGTCTGAACTAATTGCGAAACAGTTTTGCATAGGCTCGAGCAGCTGATCTTCAGCTCGTATCTTCTAAAGATCTGCGCTAGATCCGTAGATGACGTATTCGTGATAATCAAAAGGATTAACATGCTCGCTCCCAAGACATTGTTGAGTTCAATATTTGCCAATATCACTTTATCACAGAGAAAGTCAACTGCCCCTCCTTAACATACACGTTACAAAACGGGTGTACCGGAAGATGAGGACCACTCACCGTAAGGCAACTACCAATAGGCGCGTCCTCCACTTCAGAAGTAACTAGCCTGTCGGCCACAAACGCTTTTGTGTCAGAACCATCTTCCAACCCGTTTGAAATGTTGCAACGGGTATGGGAGGGAGGAGGAGATGAATTACTTGCGTACTTTATTTAGACCAATTTTTATCCGAAGGCCTTCATACAAACGTGTCTCAAGAAGTCTCACTGTGGACGGTCGAATGAAGAAAAACAAAGTTCTAGCTCTCGATCCCCATATAAAGAAAATTTCGCAGGCGACCGCAAGAATACTGAAGCCGTTCGCGATTGTTGTGGTTCACAAACCGGCATCAACGAGCAGAAAGTAGATACTGAAGCCAAAAACCCCGCTGCAAGTGACGGAACAATCAGCGGAGGCATACAGCATATCGTGCCAAGACTGCTTGAACACCAGGTTGCAAGAAGTCACAAGGATTAATTGTTTCTGGTCTATAGCAACTTACAACAGCAGAGCCACAAGTTAGGCTTTTAGAAAGCAAAGGCGGTCGGCCAAAAAATTGCAAGCTGGCTTGACTGATGTTCGATATCTGGTCCTCTAATGGAACATTCAGACGAACTATAGACCTCCATCCCACCTATTAGCCACTTGGTACAAGGCCCGGATCCATGGAAGATTAATTTCCGAACGGAACAATTAACCGGACCGTGGATAAACACCTGACTCGTACAAGGCACAGTTCGGTTCAGAGATAGCTAATGGGACGGGCGATAAAAATCGCACGCGGCTGGAAGCCGTCATCTGAAGCACTGGTGGGGAGTCACGTGGCACGTTATCTCATTGGTGCGCCCGCGAGGCTGGACACAAAGAGTACGAGCAAACACGGCTAATCCGTCCGCCGCCAGGTGAGGAGGCCAAAAAGCACGCTGAAGCAGTACTGTCACGTGG